TGAGTTTGAGGCCAGCCTGGTCTACAAGAGCTAGTTCCAGGACAGGTTCCAAAGCTACAGAGAAACCCTGTCTTGAAAAACAAAAACAAAAACAAACAAAAAAAATTAAAAAAGGAGGGCATTTGGCAAATCTGAGTTAAACCTGAAGATTTGTTACAATGTGTTCATCATCCTTTTGTTTGTTTGTTTGTATTGCTTTGTTTTCAACACAGGGTTTCTTTGTAGCTTTTGCAGCCAGTCCTGGAACTTGTTCTGTAGACCAGGCTGGCCTCCAACTCACTGAGATCTGCCTGTCTCTGCCTCCCAAGTGCTGGGATTAAAGGCATGTGCCATCACTGCCCGACTAGAATATACTTTCCTGATACTACACAGGCTGGTCCCAGGTACTTGTCCTCTTCCTGCTTCAGCCCTCCGAGTAGCTGGATTGTGGTCATCTACCACTTTGCCCCCAGCCTGTGACCCTTTGTTTGCCTCTGCATGCCCAGAGTTGCTCACACTTACGCATTTTATTTTCTTCAACTAGCTGAGAGTAATTGTTGCCTCCTTAACCTGTAACACTTGCGTTTTTCCTAAACAAAACAAAACCCCAAACAAACAATATTGTTGCTCATCCCTAGCAAGTATAGTGATTAGAGTCAGGGAGTTGAAAATAATGAACATGGCCAGGCGGTGGTGGGACAGCCAGGACTGTTACACAGAAAAACCCTGGCTTGCAAAATCAAAAAAAAAAAAAAAAAAAAAAAAAAGAAAGAAAAAGAAAAGAAAAACTAAAAGAAAAAAAGAGTGTATTCTAGAACTCTCTAATGGATTAACAATCTATAAATCTAAAACTTTTCTCAAAATAAAGATTAATCAGAATTTAGTATTCATACATCAAGTTTCCAGATTTTCACAATTACGTTTATGTTGCCACATGATGTGACATTTTCGTTTGTAAAAAGATGTCTGAATAGACTTTTTTTTTTTCTGCTCTGGATTTCTGAAGCAACAAAAGAAAGGGCTTGTCTACTAGATGCTGCTAGGAGCCAAGCTCCTCCCAAGGCGTGCACATAACACCTTAGCTAGGGAATGTAGCATCCAACGCCACGTCTAGCTGCACCTGTCCTTTCCAAACTGGGCACTGCTGGCTCTACGTAACTCTTTACTAACCAACCCTTTGTGCAGGAACCCACACAGAAGGGACACGGGGTCACTAAGCAGAGTCCAGGACACTCAGAGTAGGCAACAATCAGGCAGTCTCACCACATGACTCTATCAGCCCCACACACCAATTAACCTCCCACTAACTCAGGGACTCTGATCTCCACTCTCTCAGACCCTCAAAGAATGTGGGAAAAGTGATACTTCTAGGTCCCCTAAATGACACTTACATACTTGAACATCAAAGAAAACCAAAGAAGCCAGAGTTCCTCTGAAAAAGATTTCCTCTGGTTTCCTACTGGATCCCAGCACTCAAGGGGCAGTGGCAGGGAATCTCTGAGTTTAAGGCCAGCCTGGTCTACAGAGTGAGTTCCAGGACAGCCAGGGCTACACAGAGAAACCCTGTATTAAAAAAAAAAAGGAAGAAAGAAAATAAAAAGACTCCCTGGACCAAAAGTAAAAAGATCAAGTGGGATTAGTTTCTTTATCAAGATAAGGACTAAGGGAACACACAGTATGCATGCATGTGTATTGCTTGTATGCCTGTGCTGTTAGTATGTGTGGGGGTGGGAGTGTTAGGGACTGCCAGGACCTTCCACACTCTGGGCACAAGATCTATCACTATTTCCCCAGCTTAGAATGTGCCCTTAAGACAGTGGTGTTGGTTTTCCTCCAGTAAGGAGGAGGAGAAATACATAAACAACTAGATATGTACATCAGTTATATAGTTCGTGGGGAGTGCCACAAACACGACTTCCAAGCTAGCTTAGTCAGGGCAGCCTGCAGAGCTGTTCATTTCCCTCCCCAGCCAGCTGCTTCTACCTCCTGCGGGTGAGGCTCAAACATGTCACAGACAAGAACGAGGGCCAAGCCTGCCAACAGCTGTACGTCCGTGCTGTTCTTCCAGGGAGTCTCTTGCCACTAGACACTGATTTCAACTGAATGAAGACATCTGTGCTACAAGGGTGCTACCAAGTTCCCCGCAGTGCTCACTCACATCTGGGTTCACCACATGGGAACACATGTTCATCACTGTAGTCTAAAAGGTGCCAAAAGGCCACAGACTCATCTTTCAACTATTTCTAAATCAGCAGCAACACTGAGACATAATCCATATATGACTTATCCACCCAAAGTAGGTTTTGGTATGTGCTAAATGAAGTGATGACTATCATAATTTCTGAACATTTTTATCACTCCTAACTCTGTGCCCACTGGTAGTCACTCTCCCCCCAACCTGAGAGCCACAGCCCTAGACAACCACTCATCTACCTTGCCTCTGTGGATCTGACCACATTTCATAGGGAACGAGACTCTTGTGATTGGCTTCTTTCTTGTAATCAAGCCACCCATATAGGAACCCACAGCACTACTTATTGCTGAGTATTTCAGCTGATGAACATCTGAGATGTGTCTGTTTCAGCTGCTATAAACATCTGTGTACAAACGTTTCTGTGAATGCCTTTATTTCTCTTGGCTATACATACACAAGTGATTCACAGGATAAGAGCATCCCTACCCTCAGTCATCTGAAGAAATGCCTGCTTTCCAACTCTATCATTTTACACTGCCACAAGCAGTGTATGTGGGTTCCAAATGACATCACATCCTTTCAACATGTACATTCTTCACTTGCATTCTAGTGGCTGTGAGGTTTTCATCTGTGTTTCTCAGAAAGTTAATGATGTAGAACACCTTTTCATGTTTAGTGACCATTTTTTTTTGTTTTTTTTTAAATTTTTTTGTTTTTTTTTGTTTAGTGACCATTTATTTATCTTCTTCAGATAAACATCTATGTAGATCCTCTGCCTGTTATTTTATTAGCTTGTCTTTAAGTTCTCTATATATTCTAAAAATGGGTCTTTAGTAAGATTTGCATGTATTTTTCTCCCATCCTACAGATTTCACTTTCTTGTGTGCTCTCAGGGCCTTACACACGAGGCAAATTCTCTCCTGAGCTCTAGCACCAGCCCTCCTCCTGATAGTGTGACTGAAGCACATGTTATTACTTTAAAAGATTAACTTTAGATTTATTTTATGTGTCTAGTGTCTTCCCTGCAGGTATGTCTGTACACCATATGCAGGCCAACAGAGGTCAAAAGAGGGAATGGGATCTGTACAAATGGAAGTATATGGATGGTTGTGAACCACCATGTAGATACTGGGAACTGAACCTGTGCCCTTTGCAAGAGGACCTGGTGCTCTTAACTGCTGAGCCATCTCTCAGGACCAAGTTAACACTTCTCAAGAAGCCCAGTTTGTCTGTGCTTTCTTTTATCATTTCTGCTTTTATAATCATGTCTAAGAAACCAAAATAATGGGAGTGGAGTTTTTGGAGTCATATCTATGACACCAACAAGCTTTACAAACTTTCTTCTGCACTTCATCTTCTTACCCATAAAGCAGAGATAGTAATAGCTGTAACAAAGAGCTGCTGCAAGTAAATAATACATGTGAAGCGATGCCTGGCACCCTTGTGCATAAGAGTAAACCACACCGTTGACAAAACACATTTGATTTTTATCCTCTGAGACACGGAAGACAATTTTCTACATTCTCTGGACTGAATAGAAGCTCAAAGAACTGAAGTCACATATATGAAATTACCTAATGTTTCTTCTCTCAAGAAAGAAATCAACGAACAGGAAGACAATGGGTGGGTGAAGGGAAAGCACCAAAATTAAAGGAAAGCCTCTGAATGTGTAGACCCTACCATGGTTGCTACCTTATTTATTCATTGGTAAAGAGGGGTCACACTGTGATTGCTTTAGTCTGACCTACAGCCCAGTTGCCAACCACTTGGACACACAGTTTCAGTGTGGCTAATGTACCTAAGAGGAAAGAGAATGCAGTTCCCAAAATGTGCAGCATAACAAGGCTGCCGGCTGCTTTTCTATTTCCTTACACTCCCTGCCCTCTCTCAGAATGCCTTAATAGATGCTTTCCCTCATCGTGGGACACTGGCTCCTTCCCCTGCAGACCCCAGTGTAAATGATATTTCTTGGAGGAAGGCTTTACAGCCACACTACTGCCTCATCATGCTTCAATGAGTCTACTGTGTCCTCTAAAAGTGCCCCAGAGTCTCCACCAATCTCCACACTGCAGAGCACAGACTATGCTGACTTTGCCAATTCCCAGGCCCTGACATCTACCAAGGGTGTGATGTACCTGGAACAAAAAAGAGCCCAGAAGAGCAAGGAAGCACGACTCTTAACTGACCCACTATAGGTTATTCACCTAACACAGGTCTCACTTTTCAGCTCCTCTAAAGTGAGCAGGGGAATTCTGACTGTCACACCTGAGTGTGGCATATATAGTGGTCACTGTACACATCTTGAACTTTTCCTGATAAACCTTTGGGGGAAATTAAGTGATCTCCATCTCTCATTCCCAACCCTGCCTTCTGTAGGGTGCCCAGTAACAACTTGTCATTTTTCTACCATCTGATGGCCATGCCACAGGACCCATGGTTGAAGAAGCTAAAGATGCAGGAAAGGGTGAGCAAGTGGCCCAAGAGTACACAGTAATGGTTAAAAGTCCCGGGCACTCATCTTTTCCCTCACTCTGGTCCTAAACTAGGAGCCAAGATACCACCAGCCACATGTGCTCAACCCCTGTGGCTACCTTATGGAAATGAGTGAACGCTGCAGGCACTAGAGAAAAAGCACCCAGTGTGATGTTACTCCTGAAGGACTGCTGGGATCACAAACAGTTCTCGCAGAGAAAATACTGCCAAGGACATTAACTGCAGAGGTCAACAGATGGGGCCTCACTGCTCCCTGTGCCCTCCTGCACACTGCTCCTGAGAGAAGAACTGTGAGATCGGCGTGGCTGCCCTAAGCTCTGACACTCGCCATTACCTCTTGCTGCTTCTCCTCATTGGGATAGGTGTCTACAAACACTCCCAGCCCCACAAATTTGTCCATGTTTCCAAACACAGGCCCTAGAGAGAGAGAACAGATGATGAACAATGACGTAAAGCCAAGAGTTGACAAAGGAATAACATCTTATATGACAGAGGAAACGGTGATATTCAAATGACTCCCAAGTATTTCCTAAGATGAGCACACACACACAAGCACCCAGGAAAGTGCATGACCTACAGCTGGGTCCACTGAACAGCTGTAGTTGTTTGCTGCTGACAGCAGAAAAGAGGGAAGGCCACTGTAACCTTGTTTGGTACTGCAGTAGCTCCCTGATCCAAACTGGTTGCTAAGACACCCCTACCTACAGAATTCTGCTTCACAAACACTTGGTAAAGATTATGCCCCCAAGAGAGAACTGAATTCCCAAGTTCTAGTTCTTGTTGCAAGAGATCAGGTCAAATCAGGTTCAGTCTGTCATCCACTTGGAGCACTGACTCCAACAGCAAGGAAAAGAGAATTCATCTCTTAACTCAAGTGTTGAGATTGTTGAGTGTTTATATTCAGAAGAAACCAGCTCACCAGCCTCCAGTGTTCATGAGAGTCAGTGCATTTGGCCAGGGCAATGGCTAGGCTTCACAGGAAAACACAGAAGAAACCAACAAGCAAGAAATCATCATAGGATGAGCCAAGTTCAAATTGTTTAGGACTCAAAATCCCATTTCAGAGACTCAGTAAGATAATGTTCATTTACAGACATCAAGGGAGAGAGAAAACTAGAAGGGCCCTTCTCAAAAAGAGGACATAGGAATAAATAGGCCTGATATACCCAAAGGGGAGCAACCCAGGGTCCCTAATACCTGGCTGCATTCGATCCTTTGTGTACCAGATTGCCAAGCCATCTCCGTGCAGATTCTTCTTCCCTTGTCCATGGATCTTGAAATGCACCTGCAGTTCCCAGTCTTTCAGGAAGCAAGGCTAACATGAGGAAGACAGAAGTGTAAGGGAGAAGCATGAAAGCTGAAGCCCACAAAGCCCTCAGCAGCCATCTACAGACATGGAAAGCAGCTTCGGTAACAAGCTAGAGTTAAAATGAAGTCTAAGACTCTGGAAGTACTCCTGTCATAAAACCAAACAGACTGAGCCATTCAACTGGTTAAGGCGCTGCGTAGAAAAGGTAAATAAACCACCTGATCATCCTCACATCTTCCAGCAGAAACAGGACAGTACAGGCAAGCTGGCAAAGGCACTTCAATCTGCCTCGATACTACATCTACCTAGAAGCGCCTCTCAGCTGACTGGGAAAAGAGGGTTGACTTAATACTTGTTTGCAACTGAAGATTATTCCTCTGACAAAAACACTCTAAAAAGCTGAGCTTCAAAGAAAGGTCAAAGCCTCATTCATTTAAGAAAAAAAAAAAAGAGTAAGAAAAGTTAAGTCTACACAGAGGTTTCCCGGGATAATTAGCAGATGCGATGAAGAACTCTAATTAGCTAACTCTGGCATTTGGCCAATCTGAGGGGCAAGCCCGAGTTCCCAAGAGAACAAATAGTAAGCTGCAGTCCCCCAAACCTTTGTGCTCAAGGCAAACACCATCCCCTTCCACTGGGACAGCCTCTTGGGGGTGGGGGAACACTAAGGAGATGGGTGTCACTCAGACTTCTGTCCAGTTTTGGAATTGTGTACCAAAAAAAGAGACAGCGGTGAGTGGCTGGCTAAGTGTTCAACATGGTTACAGTGTTTTCAGGAGACACCAGGCGAGCACAGTCTGGTTTGGGGAGGCATCGAGTTAAAGTCTGCTGTGAAGAAAGGAGGGAAGGGGTCAGCTGGGTTTGGCCAGGTTCAGCCAAAGGCTTTCCAAAAGACTGCTCTGGGTCTTGGGCAACACACTGCTTGATCATTTTCAGTTTTTTGTTTGTTTGTTTTTCATTTCTGGGACATCATCCAAAAGAATTAGCATTAGGAATACAGAACCAACATGAAAAGAGGTTGGACACTTTTTCACAGCAGGGCGCCCTGATATCTCCAATAATCTGCCCAAGTCTGTCTTTTCATTTTGGGTTATCTCTGCTTCATTTAGCTTTCAGGGCAAGAAAGATTTCAGTGGTAGAAAGGCTGTCCTGCAGCCAGAGGCAGCACAATAGTCCTAGGAAGAAGGCAGGGACAGAGAAGCAAGTCAGGACGTAATTGCCTCTAATATTTGGCCTTGGGTATCACAATGCTATGTTCTGAAACTTTGTTGCATGTTTGAAAACCCCAATGACCTAGCCAATCATGGTGCTCACAACTTTAATTCCAGCACTTGGGAGGCAGAGGCAGAAGGATCTCTGAATTCAAGGTCAGCCTGGTCTACAGAGCTAATTCCCGGACAGCTAGGGCTACACAGAGAAACCTTGGTGGGAAGGAGGAGGGGGGAAGCAAACCAATGACCAAATTATACCCTATTCCAATTAAATCTGAGGTGGCATCCAGGCATTAAGTCCAGTGGACAGTCAAATCTGAGAACCACTGGGCTGGAGAAATGGCTCAGTGGTTAAGAGCATTGGTTGTTCATCCAGAGGACCCAGGCTCAATTCCTAGCACCTACATGGCAGCTCACAACGGTCAGTAACTCAAATTCCAGGGGATCTGACACCCTCACACCAATGCACATAACATTAAATAAATTTTAAATAAAATTGAGAACCACTTGCACAAACTATGTATCCTACTCAAATAGCTCAAAAATAATTCCTGATTCATTCTGCTGAGAATATAGGTATCAGAGAAACTAATAGATTAAGGTATTAATCCTTGCCCACAAATTTAATAACTCATGAGAGCCCATCAATGCAACTGAGAGCAGGTCTGATAACAACATATATTTGTATGTATATACAAATTGCTACCCATTGTAGCAAACTCTGCACAACCTGAAATTCAGACAGGCAAGTTAAACAGTATTATGAAGTCAGTTTAACAGTGAAGACATAGAAAACTGAAAGGCTAAGCGACCTGCCCAGGGCTTCTGGTGGCTGGATAATTGATTCTTGCATCTTCTGCCATGCCCCATATGGAGCTCCACATTACAATCTAGGTTACAGGTTAGCCTGTGCTGACAGCTCACAGAACAAGTGTTCTTGGCCCTCTGGTCCTTTATAACTCTTGGTTAGAAAAAAAAAATGAACAGGGAAAAGAAAGTTCTCTGTTATGAGACCCACTCACACCATCCACAGCTGATGAGAAAAACCCTAAGAGTGTAAGATTTCTTCCCCCCTCATTTATAGGAGCCCAGGAGAAAATATCAATGGATGCCAAAGTCATCCTGAAAAGTAACGTGGGTGTGAATGTTTCGGAAGGACCTGGAAAACAAAAGATCATCTTACGCTTGCACAGCATCACCGTGCAGCCATGCCAGGTGCTCACTTCTCGGCATCATACCTCAAGGAAGACAAGGTAGCTAGAAAAGGCCCAGAGGACAAGCGAAATGACTAGGACAGCTCAAAGTGACTCTCACACTAAACAGAAACGTAAACTCGGGACTGAAAGAAGGGAAGGCTACTAGGATTTAGTTTGGGCTATATGCATTTTTAATGCCTATTAGCATTTATTTCTCTAGTCATAGTTGCCCAGGCTGAGACTGAATTTCTGGGCTTAACTGACTCCCCTGCCTCAGCCCCTAGGTAACTAGAATTCTAGGTGCACAGCACCATATCCAGAGTAGAGTGGTTGACTCAGAAGGACCAGATTCGAAGCCAGCCTGGACTATCACCAAGTTCAAGGACAGCCTGGGTTACACGTCAAGAAGCAAACAACAACAAAAACAATAACAGCAACAAAACAATAGCTTTTTGTTTTACAAAGTAACTAAATAAGATTTAAGCTATTAAACCCCAAAACATGGTATGTCAGGCTAATGAGAAAATGAATTATTTGCTCTAACAATAGGGCAACAGAGAAATATCTGATTTCTTTATTATAAAGTTCATCATTATCTCTGAACTAAAGACTTTTGCTTGTTTTTTTAATGATTTATTTATTTTTATTTTACGTGCATTGGTGTTTTGCCTGCATGTGTATCTTTGAGGGTGTTGGATGCCCTGGAATTGGGAGTCACAGACACTTGTACGCTGCAAGTGCTGGGATTTGAACCCGGGTCCTCTGGAAGAGCAGACAGTGCTCTTAACTGCTGAGCCATCTCTCCAATCCTCTAAGGAATTTATGATCTTTAGAAGATGGAATACTGAGAAAAGACGGTAAAGAAGTAAACTCCAAGTCGTTTCTGAATGTCTTTAGGACAGTCAGGGTCCTAACACAGGAAGCCTCTTACCACCCGATTCCACAAGGCACCCTGTTTACTTTGCATATCTGGAGTGAGGCGGATATACTGGGTCATCACCATGGCATTGCCCATCAGGTTCCACAGCGAAGAACTGCTTGTTCCCACACCTATGGGAGGGAATACATCAGCTCATATTCTTCATCATCAGTCACAAAGCCACCACATTCCTACCAAAGGTGCCGCTGTTCTGCTTTTCCTTTAGTATTAACAAATAAACATTTTGTTTTTGAAAGAGGATCTTAATATGTTGCCCGGGCTGATCTCAAATTCCTGGACTCAAGCAATCCTTCTGCCTCAGCTGCCTGAATTACTGGGACCACAGGTGCTTGGCATCACACCATTCTTCCTTTAGCTAAGTCCTTCGGGTGAATCCAACACACCTCAGAGCTGTCATTTGTGAGTGACAGAGTGAGCATAGTTCAGATCTATTCTTCCCGTTTTCAGCACCGTGGGAAAGGACAAGAATTTTCTCACTTATACCAAAAGAGATTGACCCTCAAATGCCTGTGGGCTTCATCATATTCTTCTTTTACAATCAAGTCTCTCAAATGTGAATTCTCCTCCAAGCCTCTCGGACTAAGTATCTCCAGGTTGAAAACTAGTCTAATTCATAGCATCAGCGGGGACCAAAGCTAAGGAGGTACTCCGATACACCTGCTACATGAACGACCTCTTAGGAATAGCATGTGGCTTTCTGCGTTTTGGAGCTTGTTTTCCGCATCCCCTATCTGCAGTTCTGTGGGGAAAACAAACTCGGTATTAAGCTCTCTGCACTCTTTGCTCTTCTTTGTAGACACCTGTGTCAATTTTCTGGCATTGAAGTTGTGCTTAGAGACCTAGAAATCCCTAAAGAGAGCAAAGCTAACCAGCCTCTTTCATCATCAGAGCTCGCGGCCTGGGAAGGAGCAGGTGTTCTAAACAGCAAACAGACTTATTTTCTCCTTTCTCACTCCGACCGAGTTCTAACCGGCTTCTTTCTCCTGCTTTATTTCTAGATCAGCCACCTCTCCATCCCGACACTGGCTCATCGCTAACGGATCTCAACCATCCATCCCTCACTATTCTCAGTTCTCTCTCCTCATACTTCTGTCCAACTCCAAACTCGTTCCTCTGAGCCTGACACTAGTGACACCTGAGAGCCCTGCCTAGACCTACTAGAAACTTCCAGCGCTCGGGAAGGGACGAGGGTGGGGGCGGACCCGGTCCTTCGGACCTGTGGCTCATCAAAGGAGCGGGGATCTTCGAGGGCGCCCCCTCCCGCTGGTGGCAGCGTCTCCGGGGCCACCCTGACCTGCGTCGCCGAGCTCAGTCCCAGTGCCCTCCCCTGCGCGACCACCTCGCCCCGGGCGCCTCACCCTGGTAGGGCTTCGACAGCGAGTGCTCCCGTTTCAAGTACTCCACCGCTTGGCCCGCCCTGACGTGCCAAGGCCCCTGCACAGACCCCAACAAAAGGAAAAGGAGCAATAGCCTGGCCCCGTCCCGAGCCCACGCGCGCAGCCGCCACCGCTGCCACCAGGAGGGTCTCACAGCCGCCGCCATCTTTCCCACCGCCGGCCCTTCATCAAAAAGCCCGCCCCGTTGCCCAACCCATTGGCCTGCAGAACCACCGGCCGGACCTCCCATTGGTTCCTGGAGAGTCCCCGCCCCCGCAGGTGAGTATCTCACCGATTGGCTGTCTGGTAGCAGTTGCCTTGCCAACCCAGGCAAGGGGCGTTGCCGAAGATCCAGACCCCTTTTTTTGCCTTTGTCCTAGGCTTCACCAGGCCTGCTAGTTACACAGTGATTCTTACTTTGTCTCTGCGTTCTGAAGTAAATTTAAAGCAATAAAACATTTTTTTTTCCGATCACAAGTAAATGTTCTATCGTCACTGCTATTTGCATTTACCCGATTGCCAAGCTATCAGTCAGGGAGACAGAAACGAAGAGAGCAATAGGCAAATCCCTTGGTAAAGGACCTGGCGTAATATGTGGGGAAGCATTCGGTAATCCCAGCACTCTGGAAACTGAGGCAGGAAGATGGGGAGTTCAAAGTCAACACAGTGAGTTAAAGAGCAACCTCAGTAATTCATTAAAATGAAACAGCTGGCAAGAGAAACAAACAAAAAGAGACCGCTGGCGAATTATAAAATGTATATAAAAGACTAAACAAGCACTATCAAGCAGCATCACCAAATGATATTTATAAAAATGAAATGTTTGTCAGTGAGGAGAAATTTGAGAACACGCAATCCTTTCCTCTTTCCATAGCTTCTTTCAAGCCACAGCAACATGTATTCAATATGGTTTCGTCATCTTGTTATTTTTTTTATAACTTATTTAACTTTTTATTTTTTATGTGCATTGGTGTTAAGGTGTCAGATCCCCTGCAACTGGATCTTCAGACAGCTGTAAGCTGCCATGTGGGTGCTGGGAATTGAACCCGGGTCTTCTGGAAGAGCAGTCAGTGCTCTTAACCTCTGAGCCATCTCTCCAGTCCCCTCGTCATCTTGTTATTAGTCAGCCTTTAATAGTTTGCCTTCATCTTCAGGAAGGAGACTGGGCACATAAAGTTCCCTGCCATCTGGCCCTGACCCTCTCCTATAGCCAAACTGCCCACAGAGTCCTTATTTCACCAACGGCTTCCGGCCTCTTCCCCTGCACGCTGACTTCCTACTCTTTCACAAACTGGCTTCCTCTTACCTACTTCCTCCTGGAGGCTTTTGTTGATTCCCTCGGGCCAGAGCGTGTGCATCTCTCAATTCTGAAAAACACTCCAGGGATCTCTGCAAAGGACTTATCAGATCTGTGTTTACATCTTCCCAACAGACATAGTCAAAGTTGACGCTCTCCTGAGCATCAACAGGAGTTTGCTTCAGAGAAGACCAGCTTTTACCAACGCTCCTTTACAAACTCCACCCAAAACAGATGCCTGGCGACAGAGGTTCAGAACTGCAGTTAATCTGTTTATGTCCATACCCTGACTGTAAAGCCCTTCATGACCCACAATGGCCGTAGGATAAAATTCAATCTCCCTAGTGTGGCATTCAAAGCCCTTCACAACCAGATCAGATCAGTGTGTACACAGGTCCATTATGATGGGTGTCACTGGAATTATGTAACTCAGTTAATAGATTATGCATTTTTCTCTTACAAGGAATGCAGCTAATGAGCTACAGGAAGCAGTTCTTGCTCATTTCCTACACCAGGTCCCACCCACTTCCCCACTCCCTAACCTTTATCACCAATACAGAGTAAGGGTTCTAATGGTTTGGAAGAACTATTTCCACTGTATTTCTCTGTCAGTTACATTGCTTGCATTGTGCTTAAATAATAAAATTTAACCTTTAATTACTTCTATTTACCTCTTTGGCTATCCCATTGCCTTGGGTTTTCCCCCTTCCTTGTGGAGCTGGGGATGAAACCTAGACCTTGTACATGCTAGGTAAATGTTCTGCCATTAAGCTATAGCTCCAGCCCTATTTATTTCTTTATTTTTGTGCACTATGGAGGAATTAAATAAAGAATTCCATGTATATTAGGCAAGTACTATACCACTGAGCTATGTTCCCCCAACCCCTTTTCCCTTTAAGATAGGGTCTCCTTTGTAGCCCAGGCTGCTATTGAACTCACTTGGTAGCCTAAGGGGGGAGGAGGGACTTTGAACTCCTGATCCTAGTTCCTCAGCCTCCCAAGTGCTAAAATGACAATGTGAACCATCAGGCCTGGCTCCAGCTCTCCATTTCTAAGTACACCATACAGCATGGGCTTAGTAATATGAACTCATGTTACACAGCTGTCAGCTAGATTTCTGATAGATTTTCATCACCAGAATTCTCACTGTGGGTGATGGGAAGAATAAGGCAAATGAGCAGGCAAGGTGGGCTTGCCGGCCAGGAAACCATCGCAATAGAGAGAGTGCCCATTAATGATGAAGATATCCAAAAGGAATGGAACCTGAGGTTTTAGGGAGCAGATAAGCAAGGTGGTCATCATGACAAGGATGACGAGAGAATGTCTCATCAGGATTACTCTGGAAGGATTAGGCAGTGGCTCACACCTGTACCTAACACTCAAGAAGCTGAGGCAAGAGAATTGCTACAACTTCGAGGCCAGTCTAATTCGTGTAGCAATTACCAGGCCAGTCAGGGCTATACAGGAAAATCCTGTCTGAAAAAAATATATACATACATACATATATGTATATGTATCTGAAAATACACACACATATACATACAGAGAGAGAGTCAGGTTTAGAGGTACGTAACTTTTATTTCAGCACTTGGCAGACAAATGCAGTTGAACCTTTGTCTAGCCTACATAGTGGTTCCAGGCTGGCTGGGGCTATAGTGAAACCCTGTCTCAAAAATCATTATTGTCAAAAAAATAAAAAAAAATCATTATTGTCATCATCATTATTCAATAAAGAAGGGGGTTTTATTTTAGACTATTCTAGAGAAAGACGATTATTTAAAAACATCCATTTCTCTGAACTAGAAATGGTGAGAGGACACAGAAAGGTGGGGAGCTGCCTTTCAGAAGAACGGCCCGGTCAATCAGCAAGGTTAAAGTGTCGAGCTGAAAAGAGAAAGAAGAAAAGCTGTGATATCCTCCCCCACATGGCCCTACTCACCAACTGCCTTCTGAAAGATGGGTCAGGGGTTAACCTGCCACCCTTTCTGCTGTCAGACGTTCCCGTGATCTGGGGTTGCCTAACTCCAGGGCAGGCAGCATCTGTAAAATGCCAGTTGTGCACCCCATCGGCTCTGGGGATGATGGTGCCTCCACTTTATCATTCTCTTTTCTTTCTTTCTGGTTTTCAGAGACAGGGTTTCTCTGTGTAAACCCTGGCTGTCAAAGACTTTGCTTTGCAAACCAGCCTGGCCTCAGATTCAAAGATCGCCCTGCCTCTGCCTCCCTAGTGCTGGAATTAAACGTGTGTACCACCACACCTGGCAGGAAAAAGTGTTTCTGAGTCCCCTAGTTGGGTCTCCTTATAACTTTCTTCAAGTCAAACATGGTCTTCTAATAAGTTCATGAGGACTCCCAGCATTCTCGCTGTCTTAGCCATTTTCATTTCTCAGTAGAAATCAAGAACCTGTCAGGGAGAATCTGTTGGTTAAGAACCCTGGCTCTGCAGAGGTCCAACGTTTGGGTTCCCAGCCCTTCCATGGTGTCACAACTGTCTGTAGCTACAGTTCCAGAGGAGCTGATGCTCTTGTCTGTTCTTCAAGGGCACTGCACACATGTGACACACAGATACAGGCAGGCAAAACAGCCATACACATAAAATAAAAATAAGTAAATCTTTAAAAATAGAAGTTCTGGGCATAATGATATACACCTGTAATCATGGCACTCAGGAGGGTGAGGCAGAAGGAATGCCTCACACTGAGGCCAGCCTTGGCTTTGGCAGTCAAGCAAGATCTAAGACCTTGTCTCAAAACACTTTTGTTGTTGTTGTTGTTGTTTTTGAGACAGGGTTTCACTCTGTAGCTTTGGAGTTTGTCCTGATACTCACTCTGTAGCCCAGGTCTCAAACTCACTGAGATCCACCTGCCTCTGCCTCCCAAATGCTGGAATTAAAGGCATGAGCCACCACTGCCAGACTCAAAACTCTTTTTTAATTAAAAAGGAAGAAAAACTAATTAAGAGCCAGATGTGGTGACATATACCTATAATCCCAGAAATATAGGTAGAAGATGGCTGGACTCAAGGCTGGCTTGGGCTATGTTGCAAAACCCTGTCAAAGAAAGAAAAAGATGAGCCAAACATGGCAGCATACACCTTTAATCTCAGCACTAAGGAGGCAGAGGCGGGGAGACAGAGGCAGGTAGGTCTCTGTGAGTTCGAGGGCAGCCTGGTCTATATAGTTAGTTCTAAGACAACCAGAGCTGCCTCAAAAAAATTAAAACATAGAGATGAGAATGTAGCTTCGTGGTAGAGGACTTGTCTAACAGACACAAGGCTCTGGATTCAGTTTTCAGCATACTCACACATACACACATTCACACATGCACATACACATGCATGCACACATATGTAGAGGACAAAGAAGAGAAGGAGGAGGAGAATGAGGAAGATGAGGAAGAGAAGGGGGAGAGGAGAGAATTGTAGCTCAAGGATAGAGCATTTGTCTAACATGCTTGAAACCTTGCCCTAATTAAAATAAAAATCAGTCTGGGTTAATGACTTCATTGCTTCATTTAGTCAAAGGTGATCTCATCAAAAATCAAAGTCCTGATGACCAGACCTCAGATCTGTGGCAGCTGTGCCGAGAGGCAGAGCTCCCATGAATTAGGGTCTGCCTCTAGCACCCAGATGTCCCCTTGCTACAAAGTCAAGGCTTACAATTGATAAGCATTTGCAGAATGGGGCAAGCAGGAGAACTCTGTTATATGCAAGTTGGAATTAAATGCCTTTTTCATATTTCCTTCTTCCTTTTGGGGCTGTGTTTGAGACAGGGTTTCTCTGTATAATAGCTCTGACTATCCTGGAACTCTCTCTGTAGACCAGGTTGGCCTCAGACTCACAGAGATCCTCCTGCCTCTACCTCCCAAGTGCTGGGATTAAAGACATGTGCCACTACCCCATTGATTTA